CCAAAGAACAGGAAGGATATGGCACTTAGAACTTCAGAAAACCACTTGAGAGAAAACTCAAGTGATGAGGACTGTGACGATGACTTGACACTTCTAACAAGAAAATTTAAAAAATTCATTTAAAGAAACAAGTTTAAGAATGACACAAAAAATAAACTTAGAACCCAAGAAGGACCAAGTTATTTACTATGAGTGCAAAAAGTCGAGACACTACAAGAGTGATTGTCCCCAAGTCAAAAAGAGAACATCAAAGAAGAAGGCGCTCAAAGCAACATGGGATGACTCGAGCGCGTTCGAAGAAGAGGAGTCCAACACCGAGTAAGTTGCTCATTACGCCTTAATGGCCATCAGAGAGGAGGTAACGAATTTAATAGATGCAGATTTATCATTTGATGAATTATTAAATGCCTTCCATGACTTATTTGATGAATGCAAGATTATTAGTAGAAAATACAAATTGCTAAAAAAGGAGCATGATAGTCTTACTTATAATTTCGATAAATTAAAAACTGAATATCATGATAGTTTAGGTTCATGCATAAAATGTCATGATCTAGAAACTCTCCAAAAGGAAAACTTGCTACTTAAGGACACATTGAAGAAATTCGAGGTTGGTAGCAAGTCCTTGAACATGATCCTTGCAAACAAGGGTCACATTCCCAAAAGAAGTGGAATCGGATTTGTGAGAAGTCCTCACCAAAATCCAACCACCTTCATAAAAGGCCCCATCTTACATGTTCGACACCAAAGCAAATGCAACTTTTGGTGCAAACTTGGACACAAAACGCATTATTGTTCATTTAAGAAAATTAGTCCAAACAAATTAATTTGGGTTCCTAAAGGAACCATGATAAATTCTATGCAACATGATAAATAATGTAGATCTATTTTTGAGGCACCCAAAAGCAAATGGGTACCTAAAAATCATCCTTTCTTGTAGAAACATATACCATCGCAAGCTAGGAGCAAGAGATGGTACCTTGATAGTGGATGCTCAAGGCATATGACCGGAGATCCATCTCAATTTTCTAAGCTCACTAGCATAGACGAAGGCTATGTCACCTTCGGAGACAACAACAAGGGTAAAATCATTGGCAAAGGGACCATAGGTAACAAATCCAACTTCTTTATCGAAGATGTTTTGTTAGTTGATGGTTTAAAACATAACCTCTTGAGCATTAGTCAATTATGTGATAAAGGATATATTGTCAGATTCGAATCTAATGCTTGCATCATTGAAAAACCACACAAAAACACGTCTATGATTGTATTAAAACAAAATAACGTATACACTATTGACATCAATGATTTGTGTAATGAAATGTGTTTTTCGGTTTTGAATGAGAATGCTTGGCTATGGCATAGAAGATTAGGTCATGCTAGCATGAAACTAATCACTCAAATATCGTCTAAAGAACTTGTAAGAGAAATTCCTCGTATCAAGTTCATCAAAGATAAAGTATGTGATGCTTGCCAATTAGGTGAACAAATTAAGGGCAGTTTCAAATCTAAGAATCAAATAAACACCTCTATGCCCTTACAATTGATCCATATGGACTTGTTCGGACCAATCTCTACATCAACCCTAGGAGGTAGCAAATACGCCTTCGTCATTGTGGATGACTATAGCAGATACACATGGACTTACTTCTTAAAACAGAAAAATGAATGCTTTAGATATTTTACCATGTTTTGTAAACTTGTTCATAATGAGAAGGGTTTTATGATTTCATCAATTAGAAGTGATCATAGTGGTGAATTTCAAAACCATGATTTCCAAGAATTTTGTGAACTCAATGGATACACCCATAATTTCTCTACTCCTAGAAATCCTCAACAAAATGTAGTAGAAAGAAAAAATCAAAATTTATAAAAAATAGCAAGAACCATGTTGAATTTCAAAATCATGCCTGCATTATATATATATATATATATATATATATATATATATATATATAT